GCCTCTGTCTCTGCCTCCCCAGTGCTGGGATTAAAGGCGTGCGCCACCAACGCCCGGCCCACCCCCATTTTTTGAGATAGGGTCTTACTATGTAGCTCTAGCTAAGCTGGAAATCACAGAGACCCATCTGTCTCTGTCTCCCAAGTTCTGGGATCTACTTTATATTTTTAGTATATAGTCAAGAACCACTTAGGGGCTCCATGGCCTACTAATGAGAAGAAGCCAGAGTCTGAAAACACTGCTGGGTAGTAATGATGCACACCTTTAGTCCCAGCACTGGGGAGGCAAAGGCAGACCGCTCTCTACGTTCAAGGCCAGTCTGATCTACAGAGCAAGTTCCAGAACAGTTAGGGCTGTTACACAGAGACAACCTGTCTCAAACAAACAAACAAAACTGAGAGAGAGAGAGAGAGAGAGAGAGAGAGAGAGAGAGAGAGAGAGAGAGAGAGAGAGAGAGAAAGACACACAGAGACACACAGAGACACACAGAGAGAATAATGCTGCCTGGGACTACATGGGAAGAGAAAAAGGGACAAGAGAGGTAATAAGAAAATACAAAGAGGTAATATAAAAATATATTATATACATTCATGTCAAAATGAAACCCATGACTTCATGCAATATACACTGATGAAAAATAAAAAGAAATGGGTGTGCAGTGAGATGGCATACAGACCTGATGACCTGAGCTCCATCCCCAGAGCCCAGATAAAGGTAGAAGGAGATAACCAACTCCAAAGTCATCCTCAGTCCTCCATGTGCTGTGGCACACGCGCGCGCGCACACACACACACACACACACACACTAATAAGTGTTAGAACGAAACAGAGAACTGTATAAAAGATCAGGGTGCATCAAAATCTAGCCATCTAAGCATTGTTTTTTTATTTAAAGACAGGCTCCCACTGCATAGGGCTGGCTAGCTGGCTGGAAACGCCCCATGTAAACTAGGCTTGCTTTGAATTCTCACAGATCTGCCTGTTTCAGAAGGCAGGCGGATCATACCCCAGTTTTTTACTATAGGTCAAAGTAGTTAATGTTTTAAGGTCTGGGGTGAAACTTTGTGGTAGAACATTTACCTAGCACACATGAGGCCCCTAGGTTTGATCCCTAGAACTGTAAAAACTAAAGAATAAAACAAGTTTGAAAATTAAAAAACAAAACAACAAAAGGCCACCTCTGGAGTCCTCGGTTCTCACCTTAGATACTGGTCAATGAGGGCCTCATGGTCCAGCAGCTCTTCTGGTGGGGGCACAGTGGGCATGGAAAACTGGTGCTGCAGGGGGCTGGGCTGCGTCTGCTGGAAGGAGGCCTGGCAGATGAAGATGGCCTGGCCATGCTGCACAGCCTTCACAGAACGCACTGAAAAACTGGCTCCTGTTCGCGTCCGCTCCACATGGTACAGCACCGGCACCTTTGGGTCCCCTGCAGTGGGCATAAGGGACAAGATGACTCCAAGTAAATCCATGAGTCCTGTCATCATCACAGTTGGTAAACAGATTCCTCTGTTCTCCTCATCCTCACTTTTCGCTGCTGTTGTTCTGAGACGGGTTTCACTCTACAGCCTAGGTTGGCCTGGGACTCAGGGCAATCCTCTTGCCTCTGCCTCTCAAGTGCTAGAATTACAGGTGTGAAGCATCCATGCCCATAGTTTTTTCTTTTTCTAAAGACAGAATTCTCAATATGTTGCTGTCACTTGCTTTTGGCAGAGACCCAAACAGGCGTGAGTGTGACATCTCTACAGTGAAAAGAAGTCACATGCTAGGTGTGCCCTGACTGGAGGCTGAGCCCAGGGAAGCTGCAGGTGGACCAGCTAGAAGGGGACAGTCTATGTGACTGGTTAGGGACACGCATTTGGCTTTCTCCCCTGGGTACAAAGTCAGAAACAGGCAAAATTAGGAGAGCTGTTAGTTATGGACCAAGTCCTGGCAGTAGGGGCTGAAGAGGGGCCTCATGCATGCTGGGCAAGTTGTATGCCACTGAATTACACCTCCAGCCCCAAGGGAAGTAACTGAAAACACCAATCCACTTCTTGTTTCTGCTTTTAGCCTTTCTCAGGATATAAATACCAACCTCTTCTTTTGGCTCATTGAAAAACTTATTCTAATATCCCTTTCTTTTCCTTATTTTATTTTATTTTGAGTCAGGATATCACTGTGTAGCCATGGCTAGCCTGGAACTCACTCTGTAGAGGATATGCTAGGACTAAAGGTGTATGCCACCATGCTAGGCCCACTTATTCAGTTTTTCTTTTTCTTTTTCTTCGAGACCGGGTTTCTCTGTGTAGCTTTGGGGCCTATCCTGGAACTCACTCTGGAGACCAGGCTGGCCTGGAACTCACAAAGATCTGCCTGCCTCTGCCTCCCGAGTGCTGGGCATGCGCCACCAACGCCGGCTACTTATTCTGTTTTTTAAACTAAGTGTTCCTTGATTTTAGAATCACAACTAAAGCCAATTAATATTTTTTGAGATCAGTCTGCAATGCTAACATGTAGGAGGTTAAGGCAGAAGGATCAGAATTCCAAGACAGACTAGGTAACCAAGTTTAAAGACAAACAAAACCAGGCTAATGATTCACTAAGCTGGAAGAATCACAGTATATGAAGACCAATGTTGGGCTGCAATGTGCCTCAGTTGGCATAGCACTTGCCTATCATGAAGGAGACCTTGGGTTCTAACCAATAACAAATAAACAAGGTGTGGTTCTGTGTGCCTGTAATCCTAGCCCCCAGAAGGTACAGACAGGAGGATCAGAACTTCAGGTTCACCCATGGCTACACAGCAAGTCTGAGACCAGCCAGGGACACATGAGGCTGTCTCAAGAAAGTCAGTATTTCTGGACCTCACAGTGAAGGTGAAGAAATGAAGCCCTAATCACTCTCAAGTAGCGTACAAGGTAAAGACTGGGTTAGGCCCCGGTAAATATTCAGACACTTTATAGTACTGACAAGCAAAAGGAAGGCTGTGAGGATTATTACCACCACTTCCATGTTTGTAAAGTGACCTGGCTGGATCCCACTGATTTTTTTCCTTTTTTTAAAGGATTTATTTATTTAATGTATGGGTACTCTATCTGCATGTAGACCTTTATGACAGAAGTGAGCACAGGATCTCATAACAGATGGCTGTGAGCCACCCTGTGGTTGCTGGGAATTGAACTCAGGTCCTCTGGAGGAGCAGCCTGTGCTTGTAACCACTGAGTCAGCTCTCCAGACCCTCCCACTGGTGTTTTCTACTTCTTAAGATAGAACCCAAGCTTTTGTCATGGGCCTGTAAAAGCTTTACCAATGGGCCACATCCTCAACTTTCAATTTTTCACCAATTTTTCTTTTCTTTCTTTGAGACAGAGTCTTGTGGCCTGAAACTCACTATGTAAGATGCCCCTGAGCTTCTGATCTCTGCCTGGGATTCTGGGATTACAAGAGCATACCACCACACCCAGTTTATTTGGTGTTGGAGATTAAGGTCGGGGTTTTCAGCATGTCAGGCTAGCACCCCACCACCTGAGCCCTAGAGGACAACTGCAGGAGTCAATTCTGTTGTTCTACCATGTAGATCCTAAGGATTTAACTCAGGTCCTCAGGTTTGGTGGCCAGTCGCCAATATTTTCTTTTTCTTCCTTCCTTCCTTCCTTCCTTCTCTCTCTCTCTCTCTCTCTCTCTCTCTCTCTCTCTCTCTCTCTCTCTTTCTTTCTTTCTTTCTTTCTTTCTGTTTGCTTCATTTTCAAGACAAGATTGCTGTGTAACCCTGGCTGTCCTGGAACTCACTCTATAGACCAGGCTGGCCTTGAACTCAGGTAGTTCCAACTACCTGTGCCTCCCTCCCAGCCTTCTTTTTGTTTGTCAGTGCTGTAAAGTGTCTGAGTATTTACTGGGGCCTAACTTAGTCCTTACCTTGTAAGCTACTTGAGAGTGATTTGGGCTTCATTTCCTCACCTTCACTGTGAGGTCCAGAAATGCTTTCTTTTTTTGAGACAGCCTCATGTGTACCTGGCTGGCCTCAGACTTGCTGTGTAGCCATGGGTGACCCTAAAGTTCTGATCCTCCTGTCTGTACCTTCTGGGGCTGGGATTACAGGCACACACCACCAAACCTTGGTTATTTGGTACTGGTTAGAACCCAAGGTCTCCTTCATGTTAAGACTAAAGGTATGCACCACCACCGGCTGGTTAGGCTATATGGAATACAGTAATCCTTAAAACTAGGGGAAGAGAATAGAGCAAATGCTATTTACTGGGGGGGGGGTATTTTTAATTGATTATTTTTGTGTGTATATGTGAATATATGGAGGGGGTGGCTTGCCACAACAGGCATGCTGGGGCTGAAGAACAACTCAATGGCATTGCTTCTTTTCTACCTTTTGAACTCGAATTACAGGGGCCTTTCCCTCCTGAGTCATCTAGAAGGACATATATTTGCTTTTTTCCAAGAGAGCACAAGGCAGTGTTCCATTGTTTTATTTTTTCCTGGTGGTCCTGGGAATTGAACATAAGGCTTCCACTCTGCAAGCATCCACACAACTGTTGATCTATATCTGCCCGGACCAAGAGTTTACAATGACAACTCCCCTGTATCTTTTTTTTTTTTTTTTTTTTTTTTTTTTTTTTTTTTCTGTTTTTTAGAGCAGGGTTTCTCTGTGTAGCTTTGGAGCCTATCCTGGCACTCGCTCTGGAGACCACGCTGAACTGGAACTCACAGAGATCTGCTTGCCTCTGCCTCCTGAGTGCTGGGATTAAAGGTGTGCACCACCAACGCCCGAGCCCAGAGCTTCAACAGTCTAAAAGATCCTACTGAAATATCTCTGGTCCCACTCCTCCTCCCTTTCACCCATGAAATCAATCTCAGCAGAAGAAAGTAATTTCATTCAAGATTATCCTAGTAATTATGATAAAGCTGAAACTGAATTTGCAACCCAAACTGCCTACCTCCTAGCCCAATAGCAGTTTACAGCACTCTGAAGATTTAGCAGTCTTGACCCTAGAAGAGTATAAAGACTGAAGGAGAAACACTCAGGAGCCAGAAGCAGGCAGATCTCTTTGAGTTCAAGGTCAGCCTGGTCTAAATGGTGAGTTTCAGGACAGCCAGGCTACACAGTGAGACCCTGTCTCAAAACAAAACAACAAAAACCTGAAGGGGATGTTAAGATGGCTTATCAGTTAAGAGCCCTTTTTGTTTTTGCAGAAGTCCCATATTTGGTTCCTACCACCTACATGGTGGCTCACAATTCCCTGTAACTGGCCTCCTCAGACAACAGGAGCAACATGGTACATATAAACTCATTTATGAATATACATATACACATACATTTCTTAAAAATAATCAAATAGTGCCAGGTGGTAGTGGCGGACGCCTTTAATCCCAGCACTTGGGAGGCAGAGGCAGGCGGTTCGAAACCAGCCTGGTCTACAAGAGCTAG